AACTACATTAGTTGTACGAACGAATGCGAAATACCATTCTTTCGTACAACTAATGTAGTTGGGCTACTACAGGGAACGCTTTATCTGCGACAGTCACAGATTAGCTCACGCACCGAATTCATAAGCTACTGTTCCTAATTTTCTTGTCTGTCCTCCAGGCAGCTAACTTTTGGCTCGCATACCTAATGTTAAGCTGGGGCAGCTAACTTTTTTTTTCCGTGTACTTGGAGTATGTGTTGCTCTGCTGCTGCATATTGCGTGGCTTCTGTATCTTTAAATCTGTCGAGTCAACCACACACCGTAGATTGGGGAAGGTCTTGTAACAGTCTGGCTGGTTCTTTTGTTGAGCTGCTGCTGCTGACACAAAAATAAACTCTTCCAATGACTTAAAAAAGATTGACAGCAGCCTGATCCAAGTTATGAAGGTGGAGCTGACAGTATATCGGGACACACCAAACATCATCTCCATATCTCGTACTGAGAATCCCCTTCTCAACCGTACAAGAGTTATGAATAATTTCTCTTTTACTCTTCGTTCCGTTTCTTGCATGGAGTATAAAACTTTCAAGGGTGTCTTCTGGCCTGGCTTGTACTTTAAGTTCTCGCAACCTTCATCCTTGAGCATACCATACAAAAATGAGAACGCCTCACGGCTGATGCCAGTGAAGTATTGAAAGTCATCATCAGACCATGACTGTGACTTTGTATAGGAAAACAGGGCAGAGTTAGGCTGCTGTGTGCTCCCTATGTTGCACACAGTGGATTGTTCAGTTTCCATTTCTTGGGGTGATGGCTCTGGTTGATTCACCTGTAAAATAAAAAGTGACTGAGTTGAACTAAACATGTACCAACTTTTCTCAAGGCAAGTAATGCATTGTTTTCTTTTCTCCTTCCAGCTGTTACTACCACAGGGAGATTATGCTATTGGAGAAACACTGCGCCTGGAAAAGACCCTGGGTTTGTTTCCACAACCCAGTATGCATTTTTAAGAGACATCAAAAGAAGGAATACGATTGACCCAAGACCAACAGCCTATTCAGCTAAGGACCAAATGTCAAAAGAAAAATTGGAGAAAAAAACCAGCAGTTTAGAGAAAAATATTCCATCGAGCCTCCTTTTGTATCAATTGGAGTCGCTGACAGATTTGTCAGAAGAGGATGGTGATACACCATCAGAGAAGATCCAGCAGGCAGCTGTTGCCTGTTCCAAATTTATTTGGTCTCTGAACAAAAAATGTGAGGGTATGTTAAAGCCATTTGAGGAGGTGGAAGGAACTAAGGGTCAGACTGATTCGGAAAGCTGGTCCATGGAACGTTCTAAATGCAGCACAGCATTTGACTGCAAGACATTTTTGGGGCTATCTTCTGGTCAGGCAAAGAAAAATTACTTAAGGAAAAAAATTTGGAGACTTGACAGAGTAGAAACTGCAGCAATGAAATATGGTAAACAAATGGAAGGACCTGCAAGAAAAGTATATGCAGAAAAAATAAAGAAGGTGCATTCTTCACTTGAAGTCATTGAAGCAGGTCTCTGGAAGAACCCTAAGTACCCCACATTGGCTTGTAGCCCGGATGGCTTTATAGTGTCCACAAAATTACAGCAGCCTATTCTGTTGGAGATAAAATGCCTCTCAAAAGAATACATTGATCCGAAACATTTTGAAGATCAGATGACCACAGATGAAATTAAACGTTTTTATTTAGTTAGAAATGAGGAAGGGCTCATTGAACTGCGTAAAACACATGCGTACTACTATCAAATCCAAATGTCTTTATTGGAACTAAATTGGTGCCACCTAATGGTTTTTTCAGACGCAGGGGACACAATCGTACCTGTTCAGAGAGATATTGACTTTTGGGCAGAGAAGAGGGAGCGGCTAATAAAAAAACACCGTGAGCTTCTCGTCCCAGAACACATTTTAAAAAGAACTGTGAGGCACCGTCATCCTCTAGAACTTGTATACCCTAAGTTTCATGAAGAACCCCACGACAATTTTTTCTCAAACAATGAAGAGTAGATTTTTTGAAAGCTGTTAATTCTTGCAGTGACCAGTATTTTTTCTTTCATACTAAAATTATTTTAAGTAGCAGCTGTTTCAGGTTTTTTAGAAATTTGACTTAAAGTTACCAAATTAAGGTAATATTTACTTTTTGCTACTAATGTACCAACTTGTTTATGTTGTCCTATATACATTGCATTTATACAGCTAGAGTTATAAAATTAAACTCACCATTATCCTGGTCTTTGGTTTATTGATTTCATAAGCAATCTCTTCTGATTCCTCAAGAGGTCTCTTGAGTGTCTCATCTGCATTATCCTTAGGAAGTGGTTGGGCCAGATCACTAAAAGAATTTTCCCCGAACAACTCAAAACTATTGCCGTTCAAGAGAATATCTTCAGTATCGTCAAACATCTCAATCTACAAACAAACAAAACATCTCATTAAGGGCTGTTACAATCAACATACACACGTAAACAAACTTATGATAGGCTTACATCATTAAGCAGTCTTTCAGTTGGAGTCTTCACAGGTGTTGTGATATCATCCACATCTTCTTCAAGTGCAGGAGGACTTAAACCCTAACAAATGAAATAGGCCATGCAAAGTCATACATTAAATACACATTCAGTATTACTTGGTTGTCACAATACCTTAGCAGGAATAAAGCTGGGCCCAACAGTATTCTTAAAGGGGGTTCGCTGACGAACAAACTTCATTTCAAATGGTTTTGATAATGACGATGGAGGCTGCAATTGTCAAGAATTAAAGACGAACCCCAAGTTAGGCAATCACTCGTGCAAAAATCAATAACAAAATCATCACAAAAACTTACATCGTATGGCAAGGGATCAGGATGTTCGGCACTGGGCCCTTTCCCACCAACGAAATGGCACGAACAAAGAAGAAGCCTTGCAGGCAGTTTTCTAGGTGTGCCCTGGATTTTGCACAACCGTAACCACCTGCGACACTTTAGGTGGTCGCATGGGAAAATGTGCAACTTGCAAGAATTGCGATGGTTATGCTTGCATACCACACAGCTTCTCCCCATTTTAACCTAAAAAAGTATAAAGTAAAAATATTTCTCACTTAAAACTGAAATTACTATTTACAAAAAAAAAAGCACGATAGAATACCAACTCACAATATAAGGGCAGGACAAGAAGAAAAACTAAAATCAGTCACCCTGAAACCAGCAAGAAATGCCTTAAAGACGGTTATTTCACGGCATATTTCTCGTATTTCAGATATAAGAAGGTTTAATATAACAATATTTACCGTATTTCTTCTCCTAAAATAGCGTCACACTTTAAAATCGCCTTAAAAAGGTGTAAAATACTGCTTGTGCGCCTAAACGGTGTCCTAGAACTCAAACACGGCCGTCAGAGCGCGCGGGCGCCGTTAGCAGACGAAATGGCGAACAGTTGAAGGTTTGTTTGGCTCCGCGGCGGCCATCTTGATGTTCTTCCTTGCGTTCCCCGTTACGGCTAAATAGCTCATTAAACAGGAATATGGCACAAGTCCAAGCATTATCACAAGGCATGAAATGGTTACATAAAAATATTCTCAAGAAGAAAAAAGCACATATTGCAACTCATGACACTCCACTTGACAGCCAAACAAGAAATAGTAAAACCTAAACACACAATAAAAAGGCATACTTATGTAACGTGGCTTAGAAATTGTAAACGAAGAGAAGCAGGATATCACCTAGCATGCCTACTGCATTATAGAGAATAGCAAAGGTTAAAACGGCTTTAGTTGATGTTGACTTACATTCGCTGTTGAAAAGTAGTTGAATAGAATTGAATGAGATGAGGAAA